TGATAGAACTCTCTCTCCTTGCCTGCCCTGAGTGTGCCCATCCTGAGAGTGCCATCTGCTTCCTGACACCACACTGACCCAGGAATTGTCACCTGTCTATTTCAGGAGTTGCCCATAAATCTAGTTTTAATCAAGAAGGCCATTTTACACATGGAACATGCTTGCAAATGTTGTTCCCTGGCTTTCAATGGTGCTTAGTTCTTTTTCAGTTTAACGTCATCAAGTCCCTTTATTGCTTAACTCATTTGAGACTGAGGTGACATTTCTCAAAAATCAACTTACCAGGAAAAGAAGTGGAAAAAAGATTAATATTGTTCAATGAGAGAATATTAAATACAGAAATGGGCATATCCACGAAACCCAGCTGATTTTTTGAAAGGACTCCTCTCTCATGCTGGCCTGGAAGACCCCCCCAGACTAGACAATTCCTTCATTTTTTGAAAAATTGAGCTTCTACCAAATAAATGCAAAAATATATGTTAATAAAAGATGTTACTCCACCTTCAAATTCTTCTATTTTGCAATAAACCTATTAATACCTTGGGGACATATCCCAGACATTTTTCTAAACATCTTTAAAACTCACATTTATCAATTTTTGTATAAAGGAATAAGTCATTTTTATACACATGCTGTTCTACCTTCCTTTATCATTAAAAAATTTTATTTACTTAATTTTTTTTTGGTATGAGGGTTGAACCTGGGGTGCTCTACCTCTGAGCTACACTCCCAGTTCTTTCTTTTTTTATTTACTTTTTACTTTGAGACAGGGTCTCACTAAATTGCTGAGGCTGACCTCAAACTTGTGGTCCTCCTGTCTCAGTTTCCTGAGTTGCTGGGATTATAACCATGTGTCATTGCTCCCTGCTCAAAATTATTTCTTGAAGATCTTTCTACATCATTCATAAAACTACATTATTTTACTTTATTATATTGTAATTTAATTTTTTTGGTGCTGGATATTAAACCCAGGGCTTCACACATGCCTAGCCTGTATTCTGCTAATGAGCTACACCCCAGCCCCACTTCATTATTTAAGATTATTTTTAAAACATCTTTACTAAGGTATATTATAAGATTCACAACCTGCTTTAAGTATATAATCTGCCTTAGTCCATTTTCTGCTGCTGTAACAGAATGTCATGGACTGGTTAGCTTGGAGGTCATTTGGCTGTGTCCTGACATGGCAGAAGGGCAAGCTAGCATATGCAAGACAGAGAGAAAGCCAGGAGAACTCATCTTTCTAATCAGGAACTCCCAGAATAATTCACTCAGAGCTAGTGGTGTTAACCAGCTGATGAGGGCAGACCCCATATAATCTAATCACCTCTTAAAGCCTCCAGCTCAGTCCTGTTACAATAGCAATTAAATTTCAACATGACTCTTGAACAGATGTTCAAACTGTAGCACAAGCCAGTGATTTTTTAGTAAATTTACACAGTTGTGTAAATATTACCACAATCCAGATTTAGAATATTTCCATCACCTCAAGAAAACCCATTGTGCTTGTTTGCGGTCAATGTCCCCCTGCCCTCTCTCTGCCTGCTCCGAGTGAACGCTTACCTGCTTTCTGTCTCTGTAAACTTGTCTTCTCTGGACATTTTGTGTAAATGCAATCAAGGTTCACATGATCTTCTGTCCCTGCTTCTCTCACTTAACATGCTCATTTCAACCTTGCTGTTAACCACCACATCCAGTGTGTTCTGTGATATGAACATACCTTCAGAGTTGAAGCAGTTCCTTATTTATGGACGTTACTGTTGGTTCTAAGCTTTGGCTTTTATAATGTGTCCATCGATGTGGGTTTTTCTGCTGGACAGATTTCTAAAAGTGTAATACCAGGGTCAGAGAGCCTGTGCATTCAAGTAAGATATCAAGTGTCTTCTCCAAAGATCACACCTATTTACTGTCCTACCAGCTGTGGGTGATAATATCTTTCAATCTGGTTTGTTCTGACCCCCAAGCTCCAGGATGTAAAGCCTGGACTTAGCTCCCTGCAATAGTTCTCAAAATTGTCCTTTGTCCTTCTGGTCACTTTCTCCTTATTTTTCATTTATATTAATGACTAAAAATTTTTTTTAAGATGAGAGTATACATACTACCTCCTACAGAAAACTTACATCTAAAGCTTAAAGACTAGGATAATGCCTCGATCTCAGACATCCATCAGTGCCCTCAAAAGCCCTGGTGCCTCTTCCTGCAGTAAATGTGTCCTGAGGGTGCTGGAACCTGCACCCCATTTTCTTTGGCACTTGCATCTGTGTTGTGTGGAGGCTTTGTGTGGCACCCACTTAGCTAAAATGGAACTGTTCCTCCCAATTCTCTCCTGCAGTACTTGCAGGTGATGTGGGCCAGCAGATTCTATGTGAGACCTGGCAGGTGGGAGAGGAGTAGTATCTGCACATGTTTCAAGCTCTGGAAGGTCAGAGCAAGGCACCCGACGGTCGCACATTGTTGCTTACCTGCTGGCTTGTCTTGTAGGCGTGGGGCAGCAGCCGGGGCCACAGTACCTTGGTGCCATCTACCCATTGAACTTGGACCAAGGCCAGTTTCAGCGTGTTTCTGTAGGCTCCAGCTCACCCTCCCTACTCCCCACTTCATGTCCATCTTTGCTTTTGGGCTGTCTATACTGCCAGCTTCAGGTCCTCGCAGAAGCAAAGTCAATAACCTGGCACAGTCTGGTTCACCAGTGCCCACAATTGCATGGTATCAACTTTCCATCACAAATCCCAACTGCTAGTGGCTCTGTCTCAAATTGAGCCCTCACTGATGTCGTATGTGTCCTCAAAAGAGGGTTCAGTTTTGCCTGTCTTTGAATTTTGCATTGAACTCTGATAGTCTCCTTAACTGTCCTGCCTGCCAGCTCAGAATGGCCTGCAGCCACTCCTCAGGCCCCTCAGCCTCTGCTGATCTCTACATCCATCAGGACGATGGAGACCCAATAACCCAGCTCCAGGGCCCAAGGAGTGCAGGCACAGAAAAAGTACACAGGTCCTATGCCATGTTCTGAGAAGGTCACATACCGTTTCCCACCCAGCTCTCAGCTGCCTGAAATGCCACTGTCACTAAAGCAAAAATAAGATTTTTTTAAAAAAATGAGTGGAACTTGGAATTTTTATTCCAATTCTACTATCCAGCCATGACATTTTGGCCAGTTTGCTCTGCTTAGACCTTTGCTCCTATACTTACATATAGAAGGAGTTGGCCTGTGGACCTTTAGGCTTTATTTTTTTTCCTTGTGTTTTATTTTGAGACTCTTTAGGCCTTTTAAACTCTACTATTACATGGTGCGATGGGTCTCCATGTGGGTCTGCACACAGTGAATTTTATTTAATGTGACACGTAAACTAGGGGCACTTCTTAATGTCCCCTCAACTAGACAGGAGTTTGTCTTGATTTCATGAACAAAATGGAACCCATCTTGCAGAGACTGGGGATTGTGCTGGGGAGAGGTATTATTGATTCAGGAAGACGGATAAAGAAGACAGCAGGTGTTAGGCAACTGGAGGAACTATGTCATAAGCTAGAAAGGCCAGTTTGGAGCAGGGAGATCTAGGCTCAGAACTGAACCCTCAGACAGTGGGACTCAGGCCCAGGAATGAGGGAGGAAAGAAAGGAAATAATAACTCAAAGGCAGCTCTGGATTTGCCCTGTCCTAGTGGTGACTTGGCTGCGAAACTATTTGTTCCAAGAATGTTCTTATGGAAGAGAGGGAGGGAGGGGGGAGGGAGGGAGGGAGAGAGACACAGAGAGACACTGGGATAAACATCCAGAATCCACATCAGTGCAATTTAATCTCAGCCCCCCTCTCTCTGGTCTCATTGCACCCTCTAGTTTCCTTGGAGAACCGTGTTTCCTCCAGGCCTTGTTAGAGGAGCAGAGAGCAGGGTCCTGGAATAAGAGTGAAACCTAATTTGGCCTCCTCCCTTGGAGAGTCATCTCAGGGAGCCATCTGGCTGGCCGTCTTGCCCAGGCAGAACAGCACTGGTCCCTAGGGCAACTGGGCTGTTTGGTAAATAGGTGACGTCCTACTGAATCAGAGGAGCCTCTGAGTCACGCTTGTTCTTAAGTACCTGGCACAGTACCTGGCACAGCATGAGTTCAGGACAAGAGACTGTTGACACTGCATTAATCCTGTTTGCTGAATGCAATAGGAAAAGCACTTTCATGAATCACGGTGGAAGTGCCTGCTCTGAGCCTCCAGCCCAGAGCTTTGCTCCTGCCTCGCTGCCAGCTCCTGGACTGTGGTTAATAGGAAGTGCTGCTTGGGACAGTGGGAGTTCCATCCCTCTTGCTTTCTGATTCTCTTAACAGGCTGCTCAGAGCCAGAGCCCCTCTTGTCAAAGACCCTTTCAGAGACCAGCCCTGTGAGAGTGAGCTCGGCCGGGGCAGGGCTGTTTGGGGCGCTGCTGCATCCCAACTCCCTGCAACAGCAAGCACTCAATACACACTGAATATCCATTCTGGTTTTTATTTCCTCCGTAGGACAGACTATAAATCACTTCCCCGTTCTGTAGTGGCACTGTTTTGTCACACCCTGAGTGATGAGGGTGTGTCTTGGAAAGGAGAAAGGAGAGTGTGAGGGAGTCTCACGGTGGGAGCTGTTGCTTCATCCAGAGCGCCCTGCCTTCCTGAGCCCAGTCGGGTCAGCATTCGGCACCTCCAAAGACCCATTCCCAACGCTCCTGACTCCTGTGTCACCCGAGGACCCGAGGAGCCCTGAGGAGCCCTGAGGAGCCCTGAGGATCTCAGAACGTAATTCTTCCGATGAGCCATGTTCAGCAGCAGGGGGCCTGAGCTGGCTGGGCATGTGGGGTGGAAGGCCAGGCTCCATCTCTTCCCAGCCTTCTCTCCACGGACCCAGTAGCCAGCAAAGGGATTTATTTCTGGAAACACCCTCCCTCGGGATGTTGGCTCCAGTTTACATGCTTTGGTTGGAAGCAATGAAATAAATGCCAACAAAAAGTAGCTTATAAAAAAACATATTTAATAATCTCACTTTACAAGAAATTACAGGTAGATAATTCCATCATTGGTTCAGTGGTTAAAGTGCCTTTTGGGCTCAGCATTTTTTTTAATTGAGGTAAAATTTACCATTTTAACATTTTTTTTTCAGGTGTTGGGATAAAACCTAGGGCTTCATGCATGCTAGGCAAGCACTGTACCCATGAGCTACACTCCCAACCCCCATTTTAACCATTTTTAATGCATAGCTTAGCAGAATGAATTACTTTCACATTATGGTTCAGCTATCACTACTGTCCATCTTCGAATTTTTTCACCATCCCAAACTGAAACTCTGACCTATTAAACAATAAATCCCCTCTGTTCCCCCCCCTGGTAACCACGATTCTACTTTCTGTCTCTGTGAATTTGACTATTCTGGGTATTTCATATAAGAAGAATCAAAATATTTGTCCCTTTTTGTATCTTGCTTATTTCCCTTAGCATAACGTTTTCAAGGCTTATCCACGCTGGAACATGTATGAGTCCGCCATTTATTTTAATTACCAAGTGATCTTCCATGGTATGTATGTTTCACATTTTGTTGATCCATTCATTTGTTGATGAGCCTCAGGGTTATTTTCACTTTTTGACTCTTGTGAATAATGCTGCTGTGAACATCAGTGCACCAATATCTGTTCAAGCCCCTGCTTTGGATTCTTTTGGGTACATACCTAGAAAGGGGATTTCTGGATCATGTGGTAATTCTATGTTTAATGTTTTATGGAAAATTGCCAGGCTGCTTTCCAGAGTGGCATGCCATCTTATATTCTCACCCGAAGTGTGTGAAACTTCCAGTTCCTCTATATCCTCGGTGACACTTGCTAATTTGTCTTGTGCTTTTTTCCTTGATAATGGACATCCTCAATGGGTGCTGTGTAGTATCTCACTGCAGTTTTGACTTGTGCTTCTTAGAAGACAGTGTGTTGGGTCCAGCTGTAGGATGGATCAGCTCTAACAGTTGGCATGTAATTATGGAGAGGAGTGAAATACCAGGACAGGATTTCTAAGCCATGCTCTTCCTGTCACCACAACGGAGGGGCTGCACGGATGTGGATATCACCACGTGCAGCTTAGATATCTGTCATACTGAAGGGAAAGGTGGGACCCCCAGGGTTGCAACTTAGGCAGGCAGTCTTAGAGGGTGGTGGAAGTGTTCCCTGAAGAAGAGCCAACAAAGGAAGGTTTGCCTTCCTTGGCCAAGTACTTCTTGCTGACCAGGCCATGGGTAGCCATGATCTTAAGGAGTCCGTGGCGAAACTTTTGGCCAATGAAGGCATAGATGAGGGGGTTGAGGCAGCTGTGGAGGAAACCCAAAATCTCTGTAGCATCCAGGGCCTGGTCAATGTCATTGCGGCGCTCACAGGTCTCCTCAATTAAGTGGGTCCTCATGAGGGTGTCTGCGACCAAGACCAGGTTGTAAGGCAGCCAGCAGAGCAGGAAGACCAGCACAACAGCAAAGATGACCCTCATGGCCCGGTGTTTCTGCCCCATGTGGGCCTTAAACAGGGTGCGCAGGGTGAAGCCATAGCAGAACAGCATGACGAGCAGTGGTATGACAAAGCCAAAGGTCTGGGGCAGGATCCGCAACACCATCCGCCATGTTGTTGTACTGTTACCCATGTCTTCGTAGCACACGGGGCTGAAATTGGGTGGGTAGACAGCCTTACGGAAAATTAAAATGGGCAGGGACAGAATCATAGACAGTATCCACATGCTTAAGCATACAAACTTGACCAAGTGCCGTTTCTGGATCAGTGTGCGTGTGGCGTGGACGATGGCCAGGTAGCGGTCCAAGCTGATGCAGGCCAGGAGCAGGATACCACTGTAGAAGTTGACTTCCTTCAGGAATGAGACCACCTTGCACAGGCCTGTGCCAAAAACCCAGCCCTTCACTTTGGAGGCTGCCCAGATAGGCAAGGTCAGGGCAAAGAGCAGATCGGCCATGGCCAGGTTCAGCAGGTAGACGTCGGTGACAGAGCAGGTGCTCCGACTGTACAAGACGACCAGCATCACCAGGGAGTTTCCCAGCAAGCTCAGCAGGAACACCAGAATGTAGATGACAACCACAACATAATTGTTGATTTCCAGGGATTCTGGCCGGCACGGGGCAGAATCTGGTAGGATAGAGGGCAGGCCAGTGCCATAACTGTAATTATTATATAATTCTTCTAAGATATCGTCCAAGTTGTAATTCTCCCAACTGAATTCTTCCATTTTGAGATAAATCTAAATCCTGCCTAGAAAGGAGATAAAAGGGTTATTGCACGTAAGTCTCCCCATCCCCACAAGATTTTGCCCACCCACACAAGAAAGAGAGGAAGGATTCTTTTGCATTGGCTTGCAAGTTACAGGGAAATAACTTTCACTTCAAATTGGTAAATAATAGGAGAAGTAAGGCTATGAGACAAGTAATTAGTACACTTTATGAAAAGTTTACAGTTTCCTTTAATATTCCACAACGTTGCCATCACCCAAACTTTGTTGAAACTTTCCTTTGCATATAGAGTCCTTTTTTGGGTCCCTCAGTGGTGAACAAGTTTGGTTATTGAGGCTGGATATTTAACATTTGGAAATGTGAGATGCCCTTCAGTTCTCTCTCTCTCTCTCTCTTTCTCTTTTTTTGGTACCACAGATTGAATCCAGGGGGTGCTTAACCACCGAGCCACATCGTCAGTCCCTGCTTTTTAAATTTTTTTTTTTTTATTTTGAGATAGGATCTCACTAGGTTGTTACAGCCTTGCTAAGTTGCTGAGGCTGGCTTTGAACCTGTGATCCTCCTGTCTCTTCTCCCAAGCCACTAGGATTTCAGGCGGGTGCCACTGTGCCCAGCCCCTTCAGTTCTTAATGTTCGGGAGTAAGCAGGCCAAGATCAAGGCTTTACTATAAAACTGACAGATGAATCCCTTTATTTAGCTTTCTTTAACTAATTTTATTTATTAATTCATTTTGAAAACTTAGAAATTCATTAAAATGCAATTAAAATGATTCAAAGAAGCAAGATGGAAAGACCATTTGAATCACAGCAGCATGGAAATTCAGAAGGCTTGTGCTAGAACAAACTTTAAATCAGTTAATAAGTCTTCGCATTAAGCTGGGCACAGTGATGTACACCTGTAATCCCAGCTACTCTAGAAGTTGAGGCAGGAGGATTGATTGCAAATTTGAGGCCAGGCTGACAACTTAGTGAACTCCTACCTTAAAATAAAATTTGAAAAGGGGCTGGGGATATAACTCAGGGGTAGAGAACTTGCTTAGCTAAACAAAAGGATTCATCTGTCAGTTTTATAGTAAAGCCCTGGGTCCAATCCATGGTACTGGGGATAAAAAGAGGTCCAGCATTTCTCTTTTGGGAGGAAGGAAGTCAGACCGGGGGGGAATGTATAGCTTAAAAATATATTAAAAACGATAGGCTGGTGGTTGCCTAGTTCTGTGAGTGGATGGAGATATAACATTACTTGGAGAGCACCAGGCAGCCATATTCTGTCCTGTAGGGGTGTGCCAGTATTATGCTCCCAGAATAAAAGGCAGGGATGTCAGGAAATAGAGAAGACAGGTGGAGACACACTATTCCATCTGTCCTTTGGTGTGCACCTTCCTCCATCTCTGGCTCCTCTGTTCCCTGTAGAGTTAGTCTTCCTCTGTGGGCTCTGCCCGTGCTATGGGGACAGCAGAGGTCTAGATTCTGGGGAAATCTTATCCCAGTTTTCCAAGAAGAGGCAATCCAAAGCAAACCAGCTACCAACTTAGCTTCCTCTGAAATCACAACATAGATCACCGTCTTTCCACTTCTTGATAGTGAATTACGACCTAGGGCCACAGTCAAGCTTGTAACTTACCCCCAAATGGAACCCAGTGTTAGAGAAGGATCAGGGAGTAAAAAGTTCCAGGAAGCACTTTATACTTATTAGACTGGGCATAATTTTAAAAAGACGGACAGTAAAGAGGTGGAGAAATCAGAACCCTTGTACATTGCTGCTGGGAATTTAGAATGGTGTAGCTGCTTTGGAAAGCAGTTTAGCATTTGCTCAGAGAGCTAAACCATGTCGTCCAGCAATTCCCATCCTAGGTATAGACCCAAAGGAACTGAAAATTTATGTTCACTAAAAACTTGTACACAATGTATATAGCAGCATTTATCATGATTTCCCAAAGGTGGAAACAACCTAAATGTTCATCAATGGATGAATGAATAAATAAACTGAAATATATCCATACAGTGGAATATTATCCAGCCATAAGAAAGAATGAAGCACTGATACATCACACATGGATGAAGCTTCAAGACATTATTCTCGGTGAAAAGAGCCAGGCAGAGAAGGCTTCATACTCTATGATTCCTTGTTTGTGAAATGGCCAAAATGGGCAATTTGATAAAGACAGAAAATAGACTAGTAATTGCCAGGAGCTTGAGGGAGGGAGGATACCAATGAGTTCAGAGTTTCTTTCTAAGGTGATGAAAGTATTTTGAAACCAGTAGCAATAGTGTTATAATATACTAAAATCCCCTGAATTATACACTCTACATGGGTGACTTGTGCTGTGTGAATTACATCTCAAATTTAAAAAAAAAAAAGATTAACCAAAGAGTACCCTGTCTTACAAAGCAAATACCGATGTTAAAATGACGACAATAATAAAAGTCCTAGGAGGCTTTTCTCTTTGCAGAAGGTGGTCTCTGCCAAATCATATGTAGCAAAGAAGAAAACTGAGTTAGAGTAAAAGAAGCTGGAAAAATAATGCCTTTTTCCCCAAAGAGTGATGGAATTCCTAACCCTCATTCCCTTGTAAGAGAGAGGGGACAGACAAATTGCCTTCAGCGCTCTAAGATCTGCACAGAGAGAGAGAAGATTCAATCAGTCCGTGAACCTAAAAAAAATGTCTTGAGGAGGGTGGGGCCCTGTCTGGCAGGGAGGGTGGGAGCCGTGGGAGAGGAAGGTTGTACTGCTGGCTGGACCAGCAAGATCCGCAAGACCTGAAAGGAAATTGCTGGATCTGAAGCACCAAGGTCAAGAGCAAGTTTCATCAGAGCTAAGCCCAAGGAAGTCATGAGGTTAAAGATGGGTCACCTCTAAGAGCAGATAAATCAAAGATGCTTTTAAAAATATTTTTAGTTATAGTTGAACACAATATCTTTATTTTGGTTATTTATCTGTTTGTGGTGCTGAGGATGGAACCTAGCGCCTCACACGTGAGAGCAAGTGCTCCACCACTGAGCCCCCAGCCCCTCAAAGATGCTTTTTAAGCAAAAAAAAAGGAACAAGAAGAGAACCCTCTTTGAGAGTGAATGCAGAGCATGGCAGGTGCAGAGCGCTTTGAGGGCAAGCCTCCCCATTCAGGGGCAGCAGCAGTGAGAAGTGGGGCTGGGGCTGCTGCAGAGATCACCTGACAAGCAAAGGCAGCAGTGGCAGCATGTGTTGCTGGGGTAAGTCCTCCTTCTCAACCAGCTAGCGCTCAGCTGGACGGCAGGTATATGGGTGAGGTCACCATCCCAGGCATCCAGGGCTGGCCTGAGGATCCAGGGGGAGACCATGCAAGTCAGGATGGACGGTCCAGAAATCAGAAAAGAAAACCATGACAGGCCAGTGGCCTCCAGTCCTGGGGACTGGGGAGGATGTTTATTGCTGGTGTTTGTTTTTTCATTTACCATTCTTTAGAGGTTGGGCTGCTGGCTAAAGGGTCAGCCTCAGGGAAGGGAGATGGTGCAGCTGAGGTCTGCTTTGTACCTCACAGGTATGCAGTTGCCCTTGGTCATTACAAATGGCTATGATGTTTACCGGTGAGAAGACTGAGACCGAGAGGCTCAGCAAGGGCCAGTAAGGATCTAGTTAGGATTGTAACTAGATTAAGTGGCTCAACTTGCATTATTTTCAGTCTATAATGCTGCTTCTTTTAAAAAAAAATCACATCTCATATTTTAAACATATTTCTAAGCTAAGTAGTTTTTTTTTGTTTGTTTGTTTGTTTGTTTGCAGGATTGGCCCTGCACATGCCAAGCATGTGTTCTACTACTGAGCTACACCCCAAAGCCTTTATTTATAAGTTAATTTCTTGAGATGTGGCTAAGTTCTTGGGCAGAGTTCACTCACACTGCCTGAATTTTGGGCATTGCCATCTTTTGCTGTTCCTTAAGCCCCCAATTAAAGAAATACCCCCTTTTCAGAATGACAGACCAAACACCCTTCAACTTGCTGGCTTCTACTGAGCGCCCAGTCATGTTCTCTGTGACCCAGTGGGAGCTCCCCTGCTGGAACCGAAACAGCAGCCCCTTGGTGACTCCCACCAGGTAGTTCAGAAGCTCCAAGGGTGGGATGACCTCCAATGAGCTACACACAAACGCAACAGCACAGGGGAATTGACAAGATCCCGAAGGCTTAAGGGAAAATTTTTTAAACAATGACAAAAGATGCACGCATTTTCCTACAATCCCTGCGATCCTTCTCTATAAACATCGTCCACAAATGCTGGCTTCAGTGTCCAGCCCAGGCTCAGACCCCGACCAGGAAGAGCAGGGAAGGCTGCTGGTTCTGGAAGGCTCTAGGGCCAGGGAAGGAGGTGGGTTGGAAGTGGCCCTGAGTGGTTGCTGGAGAGGGCTGTAAGAAGCAGGCAGAAGTTCTCCCTTTGGGGACAGGGAAGCCTAAAGCAAGAGAAAAAGGAGGCTGAGGGAGAAGGGGGAGGGGGAGATGCCCCAGAGTGTGGGGTCAGAGAGGAGAGACCTGGGAGGGTAGGTATTCCAAGACTTACCGGGCTGCTGGACTGTCCACCTGTGGGACACCTCCAGGAGGACAGCTGTGACCTAAGAGAAGGAGGTGGTGGTGAGGACGCACGGGAGGAAGTGAGTGGTGGATGGGATTGCTCAAGTCAGGGGTGGAGCTCCTGAGGGTGCGGGATGCTTTAATGTCTTTGAATAATAAATTTCTGGATTAGCTCTTGGATATGTTGTCGATTGATGGCCTCATGGAATTCATCCTGGCCGGGGGTGGGGGGTGGGGGGGTGGGGGGGTGGGGAGCTGTGGGCTCTGTGCCTGTCTTGCTATTTCACAGAGGAGATGAGTGAGTCCCAGACAGGGGGAGGGTTTGCCTAGGACCACTCTGCTCTCTCTCTCTCTCCTTTGCCATGATATTGGCTGCTCCTGGCTCTTTCCCATCTCCAGAGAAATCCGCAGAGATAGAACCTGAGCTTTTGGTGAGTCTGGTAGCTTTTCTCCCTGGACCTAAGCCTTCTTGTTTTCTG